TGTAGGAAAGTACCAAAATATTAAAAAAATAATAATAAAAATAGCTTTTAAAATTTTTTTTATTCATTTATATTTATACCCATATTGTCCCGTTGTACCCATCCGAGTACAGCCCAAAAATCGCATTTCCAAAATTTAAAAATTTTTTGTTCTTAAATTTTATTTTAAACTAGCTATACCCAGTGTGCTTTGCTACCCTAAAAGGAATATGTATAAATAAATACCAGATTTATTATATGTTACATATGAAAGATGTCAAGCAAATTATTGCAAGTTCGCCAGTTTCTATCTATCGCCAATTTCTATCTATTTACAAAAAATTTGAATAATATAAGAGTTTCCAAGATGCACGAAATTTTGTATTTAATTCATATATGTGGTGCCAAGCCCCCCATTGAAAGTCCGCCCGTTATTCTCTAAATGTTCACATGAATGTCAAAGTTCTTCATGTAAAATTTGAAGATTCTAGCTCTAATAGTTTCTCAGATATACGAATTTAATTCATGTGGGGGCTTCAAGCCCCCCGGATGAAAGTCCGCCCTTTTTCCTCCAAAATATTCAGATGATTATTAAAATAATTTGTTCAAAATTTGAAGAATCTAGTTCTATTAGTTTCCCAGTTAAACGAAATTTTGTATTTAATTCATATGGGAGGTACCAAGTAACCCATTGGAAGTCCGCCCGTTATACTCTAAATGTTCAGGTGAATGTCAAAGTTCTTCAAGTAAAATTTAATGATTCTAGCTCTAATTGTTTCTCAGATATACGAATTTTTCTATTTTATTCATATGGGGGCTCCAAGCCCCCCAGATGAAAGTCCGCTCTTTTTTCCTTAAAAATGTTCAGATGAATATTAAAGTTCTTCGTGCAAAATTTTAAGAATTTAGTTCTATTAGTTTCCCAGATAAACGAATTTTTGTTTTTAATTAATATGGGAGGTGCCGCTCCTCTCATGGGTAGTCCGCCAATTTTTTACCCAAAATGTTTATATGGATGTTAAAGTTCTTTGTGCAAAATTTTAAGAATTTAGTTCTATTAGTTTCCCAGATAAACGAATTTTTGTATTTAATTAATATGGGAGGTGCCGCTCCCCTCATGGGTAGTCCGCCAATTTATTACCCAAAATGTTTATATGGATGTTAAAGTTCTTCGTGCTAAATTTTAAGAATTTAGTTCTATTAGTTTCCCAGATAAACGAATTTTTGTATTTAATTTATATGGGAGGTACCACGCCCCCTAATGCTAGTCCGCCTACTTTTTGTCCTAAATGATCATATTGACACTAAAGTGGCTCCGACAAAATTTGAGGACTCTAACTGTTATATTATCTAAAATATACGGATTTTATATTTTCTTAATGTGGGCGTGGCTCATCGCCCACTTGAAATTTCGAAATAAAAAGTAGCCTATTACCTATTCCAGACATGCAGGAATATGCTGTGAAAATTTCAAGAAAATCGGTTCAGCCGTTTAGTAGTCTATAACGTTCAAACATACAAACATACAAACAAACACACATTCATTATACCCTCCACCACCATCAGTGGTGATAGAGGGTATATATAAGTTTGTCATTCCGTGTGTAACACCAAAAAATATTCATCTTAGACCCAACAAAGTATATATATTCTGGATCCTTATGAAATTCTGAGTCGATTTAGCTATGTCCGTCTGTCCGTCTGTCTGTCTGTCTGTCTGTCTGTCTGTCTGGTTAAAACACGCACACGCTAAAACTAAGCAAATAAAATCAACCAAATTCACTGAGAGTATTCATTGTTTTCCTAAGCAGTTTGGTATTGAAAATCAGCAAAATCGGTTCACAACGTAAAAAGTTATGAGTAAAAATTTCAGACTACCTCAAAAAAATTAAGTTTTTTTCCCCAATTCTTGAGTAGTTTTCTCAGAAACTACCAAAGATAATTCGACAAATTTTGTCACAGATTATTTTGTCCATCTATAGATTAATTATGTTTAAAATTGTAACAATCGATCCCAAATTTCCCATAGCCCCCATACAAAGGTACATATTCCCGGAAATTAATTTATCGTTAATAACTTCCTCAAATATATCGGTATCAACACAAAATTTTGTACATATTGACTTTATATGAACAGGAATTAAAACTACCGACTTAGATCTGTATCGGTCCACAATTGGTCATAGCTCCCATATAAGGTCCACTTTCGAAAATCACTTAAATGAACATATTTTATTGAAAAATAAAGCTATCGGGATAAAATTCGACATGAATATGTTTTGTATATACATAAATCATTCTACGGAAGTTTTTTCCGGATCGGTCCATAATTGGTCATAGCTCCCATATAAGGTTCACATCCGAAAATCACTTAAACGAGCATAATTCATAGATAAATAAAGCTATCTGGATAAAATTCGACATGAATGTGTTTTGTGTGTATATGAATTACTCTACGAAATTTGTTCCGGATCAGTCCATAATCGGTCATAGCTCCCATATAAGGTCCACATCCGAAAATCACTCAAATGCGCATAATTCATTGATTAATAAAGCTATCAGGGTAGAACCCGAGGTGAATATGTTCTGTATATAGATATAAATCATTCAGTGAAATTTTTTCCGGATCAGTTCACAATTGGTACTAGCTCCCATATAAGGTCCACATCCTAAAATCGCTTAAACAAGCTTAATTCATTGATAAATAAAGCTATCGGGATAAAATTCGATATGAATATGTTTTGTGTGTAAATATTAATTATTTTACGAATTTTTTTTTCGGATCGGTCCATAATTGGTCATAGCTCACATATAAGGTCCACATCCGAAAATCACTTAAATGCGCATAATTCATTGATAACTGAAGCTATCAGGGTAAAACTCGACGTGAATTTGTTTTGTATATGTAAATCATTCGTGAAAAATTTCCACATCGGTCCATAATTGGTTACATTCCATATAAGGAATTTTTCAGCATCGGTCTATAACTAGCTCCCATATAAGGTTCACTTCTGAAAACCACATAATACCACATAATTTATTATGTGGTATGTTCTGTGTATAGATAAATCATTTTGAATTTTTTTTCGAATTGGTACATTATTGGTCATAGTTCCCATATAAGTTATTGGCAGGATCGGAACATAATAGGTCGAAGAATAATCGGTCGATATCTGAAAATCACTAAATACAAATGTTTCTTGTCCTAATCAAAATTAGTTACATACATACATGCATAAATAAGTTACAAAATGATAAATAGTATCTTAATTACGGAAACAAAACATGTGCCGGGTTTTACAGTTCTCCATAAGGAAAATAAAGTACTTAAGTACTTAGTATGTACTTTAATACTTAAGTAAAATTTATTTCTTTAGTATAAACTATAAATTCGGCCCTATAACATATTTATTTTGGGTTTTAATAAAAAGTAGTTTGCAGATGGAGGGTATTTAAGATTCGGCAGTGCCGAATATAGCAATCTAACTTGTTTTTATATATATAGATTAACCCATAATAAGATACATTTTGCAACAAATAATTTTAATTTATTGGTTTTAAGATGATTGGGATCTAATGAGTTAAATCTGTTACAATTGCAAGATTTATTGAACATTACAAACGCCATTTTCTTTTATATATTTAAAGCGCCCTAAGATATGCTTTAGCGATATTTAATTATTTGTGTGAAAGATTTAAGGAAATTCAAATTTTCGGGGCAGGACCTAGTTTTTACGTGAGCGTGTTTTACACAGACAGACAGACGGACGGACGGACATAGCTAAATCGACTCAGAATTTCATAACGACCAAGAACATATATATACTTTGTTGGGTCTCAGATGAATATTTCTTAGTGTTACACATGGAATGACAAAGTTATATATACCCTCTATCACCACTCATGGTGGTGGAGGGTATAACAAGTAAGAAAGTATAGTCAGACGTGGCCGACCATATGATACCCTACACCATTTATGAATATTAGATGTTATTTATTTTTCATAATAAAGCATTTTTTTTGGATATTACCTTGATTCCGTTTTATTAAAGCAATTTATTGACGAAAAACAAATTTTTTTAAAAAGAAGCTTTATATGGGGGATAGGGGCGAGTGTTGACCGATCCAGATAAAATGGGCTGGATAGATTTGTATTTATATAATATTTGTCTGTGCTAAATTTCATTGCAATAACAGTGCACAGTGGGGTCTCCCTGAACAAAAATTGGCATTAACTAAGCTATAATAGTTATATATAGAGTAAGTAAGAAAAAAAACTTGCACTTAATGCAAAATTTTCAAAACAAAATTTTTTAAAATTTTATTTACGAAATATTTTTATTACATTTATATATACCAAATTGCTTTCGAGAAAAACTAAATTAAATGCACCTTCTAGAAGATTTTTGGATTTTCTTAGGGAAAGTTCTGCTTACCCACCTTAAAGTATACCAATCGGCTTAGAATCGTTTTCTGAGTCGACTAAGCTATGTCCGTCCGTCTGGCTGGCTGTCCATGTAAACCTTGTGCTCAAGGTACAGGTCGCAATTTTCAAGATAATTGGATGATATTTGGCACACACGCTTTTTTTTGGCCTAAAGACGAAGCCTATTGAAAACAACAGAACCCCCCGAAAAGGGCTTCTGAGCTCATAATTATGTTAAATATACCTGTATATTGTTAAAAAGCAGCACAACCAAGTTTTATGCAAGTCTTAATGACCTCGCCAAATTTCATAAAGATCAGGCAACATTTGACCCTAGCTCCTCTACAAAGTGCCCTTCAGAAAATTACTTCAATGCCCAAAATGAACTTATAAACACAAACATCGCGATGAAAATCAGCACAAATAAATATAAAATAAATATTATTGTCCAATCTTGGACAATATTTATTATTATTTTTGTTTTTTTATTTTTATTAAAATGAATTTTATATATTATATTGAATTTTTATATTAATTGATTACTATAAGGTTATTTGCATTTAAGATAAATTGAATTATTATGAATTATTAAATGA